ATCTTCGACTTCCCTTTTTTGTATTGTCACAGAAGTAGTTCTCAAGATATTTGTTGTGAATCTAATCATGAATAGCTTTTTTTTTTTGTAAACATGCACACAGTTAAGTAGTGTATGCTTATAGAAGTCAAACATAGTCAGGTTTAAAAATGTCTGGTTTGATGGGCTTGGTTTTTAGCATCTCACACCTACCCCTTATGAAAGTTTCCAGTATTTATTGGTTGGTAGTGCTGCTATTTTTGTCCCCTTCCGCATCTGTTCAGTCACACACAAGACAAACATCTGTGGTTGGCAAACTTGGTGCTGAGTTAGATAGTAAATATCATATCCACCCCCAGTGACTTCAGGATTTAATATGACCAACAATTTAGGAGTTAGATCACATAAACATTAAATGTTACATACTTAACCATGGGGGAGCATGAGGGATTTTGTGTTTGGCTTAATATGACTAAGTGCCTTTTATACTAACGGAGGTTATAAGAGGATTTACAATTTACCATTTGAAAACAGATGTGGTTGCATTGGTTTGAGTGGTGAGAAAAAGATATTTTGTTCATTGATTTGTACTAAACTGGTGCATATCTGGGAAGGCAGAAGTCAAAGCTATCAGTTTTTCAGTTTTTTGGTTTTTTTTTTTTGCTATATTTAGCCAGCAGAGACGTTTTTTTCGCCGTAGCTAAACATCCTGTTGCTGCCCAAAGCCGTACATTCTGAGTAAAGATGCTTGGTGGTCTGTCAGATGAAGAGAAATGGCCAGCCACAGTGTACATCTCACAGCTCAGCTGCTGCATGTGGCTTTACACTACTTAGTGTTTCACAGGCATGGACATGCATCTATACTACAGTGTTGCAAAAACCAAAAATAAAAAAACCTAGCAGCGGTTACATAAGAGATACCTACTGTTAGCGTTTCTGAGCAGAAACTATTTCCAGTAGGTACTTTTGTTTCTTTCCATTAATGGTTGTACCTGTTGTGCACCTACAGTAGTTTGGCAGCTAAAGAAGCCATAACCGTCTCATTAGTGAGACACGTTTACTTACCCACTGACTCTTCATTGAAGTACTCCAGGGTTTTACATTTTGTGCTGTTGTAATAAAAAAAAGGTCAGATTAGAATGATTTTAGATATTAGGTTGAAGTATATTCCAAATTAATTCCACTGTTGTTTCCTTTTTTGTTTGCAGAAATGTACAGTAAGTATTGTTTAAAATACCTTGGTTACATTACAGTTTGGCATTTTGGTACAACACCTGCAAATGGAAATAATTTGGGGTATACTGGGCCACTGGTTTACTTTAACTCAAGCCCAATTAAAGATTTCAGTCATACTGAAAATTCTCCCCCATACATCAGTTACACACTTACACCAATTCACGCTGTTACAATATAAATGTAATTTGTAATTCCAAATCAGAGTACATATTTATGGCAAATCAAGGAAAGTTTGCTATTCTTCCTAAATGTATTATTACAGGATAATTGGTGATTAAATACATGGAAAATGTTACTTTAATCCTCGTAAATCAATGGTATTTGTTATTTACATTTTCAGAGAAAAGACAGATTGAAACGAGCTGCTGTTTATGTGGACAGCATCTCGCCTCTCTCGTAGCTCCTGAGATGAGAAGATAACATCTGTTCTGAAGTGGTAAGGCCCATCAACGGTCATGTTTACAGTGAACGTTCATCATCAAAGCACAGCGCTGGCTACATGATGTGCCTTTAGGTGTCAGGGCAAGTGTCTATTAAAGCACAGCGCTGGCTACATGATGTGCTTTTAGGTTTTAGTGTCTAGAGGAACTAGCATCGCAGGTCTGTGTGTTATTTTTCTGAGGCAGTAGTTCAAAAGTAATCCTCAGCAGACATAGTCTTAACTCTCATCATCAATGTGATTGAGATCGGCAAGGACAAATGTCTATTTAGACAACATGTAATGTACTACTTGAGTTTTGCCAAAAGTCTTTGGTACTCCCAGCAAGATTATCTGCACCATAGTTCCCTGCACAGTAGCAATTTTAGTAAATAACCATTTATTATGAGAACACTTTTACCAAATTAAGGATAATAATCACCTTTATTTGGCCAAGTATGTTATACACAAGGAATTTGTTTCTGGTAGAGAACCGAGGCAGCCATCTGCGGCGCCAACTCAACCAATGGCTCTAACCATTGGGGGCAACTTAGGGGTTCAGTGTCTTGCCCAAGGACACTTCAACATGTGGACTGCAGGTACCCAGATTCGAACCTCCAACGGGGAGACAACTGCTCTACCCACTGAACCACAGTCGCCCCACATCAAGAACCAAAACAATTCACACTAGATAGATCATGTTGCTCTAATGGTGCTAGGAAAAAGCCCATGTCCACCTAAATAAAGACTTGATCCATTTTCTGTGTTTGGCAATGCTTCCCCTAGGGTGAGAAGCTGGTGAGGGATTGTGTCCTTGCCATGGTCATTGTATCTGTATGGAGGGGAATGAAAATACATTATAGTATACCACAGAATAATAAGTTGCATCCTGCCTGATAATGCTGTCCAGTTAACAACAAGGCTTTACTGCCACCCAGCAGCAGCTCTGTAAGCCTGGTACAGCTGTGCTGTGCATTAAATGTTAACATCAGCATGCTAATATGCTCAAAATGACAATGCTAACATGTAGCTGTTCATCATGTTAGTTTTGCTAATTAGCAGAAAACACACAGAAAAAAAGGACTCACCGGGTCTTTGGATTTACACAGATTATGCTAGTATATGCAACGCAATTCATTCATATTTCCTCTGTTAACATAATTCAAACAAGTTAACCCCTAAAGAAAATGATAATGTGTGGGACCAATGTACACATTACAATTTAAGTAAATCCAACAAATCTTTTTTTTCAGTGCACAAGGCACTGCTGAGGCTAATGGGATGTCATTAATGTCAATGTCCAGCAGTCGTAGAGACGTATCAGTCTGGACAAAAGTGCTGGTCCATTTAGACCACACTATTTCCATACTTAGAACCACGCCACTATAGTATGACAAAAATACTAGGACATACACCCAGTATGTATTTCGTGCAGGAAAAGCTGTTGCTGTATGACAGACTTCATTTGATCTGACAGTAATTTAAACATTTTCCACAAATATTTTGATACTATTTTCAAAAGGTTAAACTGTGATTTGCATTTCAGGCTTGGATGGGTTATGAAATATGTAGCACACATCATAAAGGCCTCAACTGCATCACAAAGCTGTGATCTACATTGCACCTGCTGCCATCAACCTCATTAGATCTGTGAGCGGCCTGTGGTGGCCTGTTGTTTCCCCTCAATCATCACAACTATGAGAGTTGCTTAAGAAGTTGTGGTTTGTAATCAAGATGAACCTTAACGCTTAACTAAAGTCTCATACCACAAAACGCTAATGATTGGTCATAGACCTCATTCGAAACAAATGATTTAGGTGTTTAAAGTTAATTTTTGCGTCAGAGATCAATGTAGTTCAAAGGATGTTTAGGTTGTCCTTCTTTTGTCTTCCTGAACAAACGCAGACAGTTGTTTTTACTGTAGATGAGTCCCGCCACTTTGACTGGAAGATGACAGTGTCTTGAAAGATTCAGTATGACAACAATGACAAAATCACACCAAACTGTTAGAAGTGGTAGAAGAAAAACTCAGGTAATTTAGAAAGGTAAAAGTAGTAATAACACACTGTAAAAATACTCAATTACAAGTAAAAGTCTTGCAGTAAAATAGGATTTAATTATGGAAATAGCTGCAACAAAAATGCTATTATCAAAAGCAAAAGCCACATGTTACTGTTATACTGTATTATTGGATGATTATTGTTGATGCATTAACTTGTAAACAGGATAAGTGTCGTTGATTGACAATAACTTTAACAGCTTCATATATATTTTTGGTAGTTTGATCTACTGCATATCAGTGTATCACAATTTATAAACTGATCAAATGTTCTGTGTGCAAAATTTTAATTTGAAAAGGAACTAGTGGGTATAAAATAAATGTTGTGACAAAGGAAAAACAATATTTCTCACTGAATTATAAAGGAAAGGAGGTAAAAAAAACAAAACAACAACCCCAAACTACAAATATCATGATAATAAAGTCTGATCAATAATATGGCAAAATTGTAATTAAGCATGGTACTTCATATTTATTTTCCACCTCTGGGTTTTAATAATCTCTGACCTGCAGGTGGTGGAGTGCTATTGAAACCAAACTCCTGAAGCTTTGTCAATTTCACTGAGAAAAACCATTTAAACAAAACCTCAACAATTGAGCTGCATGCTGGTGGATTATAACGTCACAATTCAGCATTAAATTCAAGTGAAAATATTAGGAGCACTATAAATATCATAATTTGAATCTATCTTTGATTATACACATATCCCATTACTACTTTTGCTATAAAACAAATTTACAACTTCACAGGAATAAACGAATGTTGGTAAGCATTAATAATACAAGATGAATAAAAGCAGACGTATCTGGTGGCTACAGCTCCAAGTTATTTTCTGTTCTGCCAAGTTATATCTGAGTAAATGTATAACTATTTTATATGATCAAATGAATAATTCAGTTTTCAGTCACGGCTAAGTTGTTAGAATATCACTTTAAAGTCTTTAGCTAGTGTATCTGTCATGTTTTCTGTAAATGGGTCACTGGTTTCCAAAATTTCACAGGAAGTGCCTTTTTTGTGTTTCAGCCAATCACTATGATTTCCACACTGTAAAACTTGTTTCTCTTGTAACTAGATCTTCCATCTGAGT